TGACCCTGCTTCGGCAGGGGGGTTGGACTAGATGACCCACAGAGGTCCCTTCCAACCCCTACTATTCTGTGATTCTGTGATTCTGTGAAGGACCTTTCTTCTTTGAATGAAGTTTAGAGGCACACATCAGATGTTTGTCTGCAGAACTGAAGAGGACTTCTTAGTTGTGCTGCATTCCTCATCAGAGGAAGGCAACACTTACAGAAATACACAAAACAGAACATGGCATCTCTAAATCTTTTATAAAGTGCTCTTCAGTGTTGTGCACTTATCAGTTGAACATCCATATTAGATACTTTCAGTATTGCAGTTACTTACGTGTAACCTATGTTTTCATGTGTTCTGATGACTTACATATTGGAATTGTGGGAGACGTGTTCTGACAGTTTATTTCTCTAACAGAAAGGGAATCATGTGCTATAGATATGAAACAAATGATTGTACTACTACAAGGCATTCTTTAAGGGAGAGAAGAGAGAGGTGAGAAGACTTCAGAAGGGAGAGCTGCCTAGCAGAAAGACTTGGATAGGCTGGAAGATTGGGCTAACAAAAACTATGAAGTTCAACAAGAACAAGTGTAAGGTCTTGCACCTAGGAAAACGTAGTCCAGGAGTGCAACACAGTCTGGGATCTACCCAGCTGGGGAGGAGCTCCGTGGAAAGGGAGCTGGGGGTCCTGGTGGACAACAAGCTCCATAAGAGCGACCAGTGTGCTGCTGTGGCAAAGAAAGCCAACAGGACGCTGGGTTGCATCAACAAGGGCATCACCAGCAGAGATAAAGTCATTCTCCCACTCTACTCAGCGCTTGTCAGACCACACCTGGAATACTGTGTTTAGTCTTTGAACAAATACTGTGATCTGAGGATCATGTAGAGATATAGTGTTACACAAAATATCATCGAGTCACAAGTGGTGTTCCCCAGTGCTTGGTTTTGGGGCGAGTTCTGTTTAGTATCTGTATCAATGATCTGGACAAGGTAGTCGAGTGCACCCTCAGTCAGTCTGCAGGTGACACCAAGTTGGGTGGGAATATTGACCTGCTTGAGACTACAAAGGCTCTGCAGAGGGATCTGGGCAGGCTGGGTTGATGAGCAGAAGCCAACTGTATGAGGCTCAACAAGGCTCAGTGCCGGGTCCTGCACTTGGATCACAACAACCCCATGCAACGCTACAGGCTTGGGGAGGAGTGGCTGGAAAGCTGCCCGGTGGAAAAGGACATTGGGGTGTTGGTCAACAGCCGGCTGAACATGAGCCAGCAGTGTGCCCAGGTGGCCAAGAAGGCCAACAGCATCCTGGCTTGTATCAGGAATAGTGTGGCCAGCAGGAGTAGGGAGGTGATCGTGCCCTTGTACTCAACACTGGTGAGGCCGCACCTGGAGTGCTGTGTTCAGTTTTGGGCCCCTCACTACAAGAAGGACATTGAGGTGCTGGAGCATGTCCAGAGAAGGGCAACGAAGCCAGTGAAGGGTCTGGACAGCAAGTCTTATGAGGAGCGGCTGAGGTAACTGAGTATGTTTAGTCTGGAGAAAAAGAGGCTGAGGGGAGACCTTATTTCTTTCTACAGCTACCTGAAAGGAGGTTGTGGGGAGGTGGGTGTTGGTCTCTTCTCCCAAGTGACAAGTGTTAGGATGAGAGGCAATGGCCTCAAGTTGTGCCAGGGGAGATATAGATTAGATATTAGGAAAAATTTCTTCACTGAAAGGGTTGTCAAATGTTGGAACAGGCTGCCCAGGGAGGTGGTGGAATCCCCATCCCTGGAGGTATTCTAAAGATGTGTAGATGTTGCACTTAGGGACATGGTTGAGTGGTCGACTTGGCAGTGTTAGGTTTATGGTTGGACTCCAGGATGTTAAAGGTCTTTTCCAACCTAAACAATTCTAGGATTCTGTGATTATTATTCTTCACAGAATACTCCATAAAAAAGAAGGCATGTCTAAATTAAATCCACTTCCAGTGGTTTCTTAATAAATCCAAACCCAAAATGTCAACTTAAGCATTTAGTTCTAGGTAAAAGAAATGTAGATTTATTCGATACCTTTCATGTTATTG